ATATGTTTTAAGTCACTTAAATAACAGGAAAATAATACAAGAAAAAAGTTTAAATGTGTTATATCGAAAAATACGTAAATCGCGGGAGTTCTCAGCGAATAATTTGTACATACGTTCTTCAGAAAAACACGCGAATATTTGGGGTTTCCGTGAATAGCAAGTATATATGTTCTAAAGAAAAATCCGCGAATGTGTGAAGCCGCGAATGCTGAAACGCGAATAGGTGGGGTCTCACGGTATAATTTTATATAGCGCACCCTTCAGGTGGTCTATTACAATTCCTAAGTCTGAATGAATTGGCACATTTATGCATTATATAATAGTTTTCACCTTTTTTTTAAGCGACTTTTATTTACTGAGTGTAATAATATACATATCCTTGAAAGCATTCTAAGTAATATCTCATCAGTTTATATATTTTTTACTCCTTACAGCCTTGCAACTATTAGGAAAATTGTTATGGTAACAGGTATTGTAGTTTTACTACTTTTAGCCTTTGGCAAAATCCTGTTTTGTCACTTCGGTTGCTCACCCAAAAGACAAGCAACACCACAAATTGATTTTGTCGCGTCCTAGAAAATTCAAGCTGTTTCCGGTAGATGAGATCAGCTATGACAGGAAGTCCTCATGACAATAGGAAACGTTACATCAGATTAAAGGCTACAAGTCACTACAATACCAGGGCAGACAATAAATAATGACTATTATTTTTGTAACGATCACACAAGAGCTTTTCATTTGATCAAATCGTTTAGATATTATACACTGATGTATCTCGAGAAAACTTCAAAGAAATGTGTATTTATAAATCGTATACGTTTTTATTTTCTTTGGAAGTCATTTAAACAAATTAATGGTAATATGCAGAATTATTTCCACTCACACGTTTTATAGTTTAAATAACATCTGACTTTCGTAGATTTGAAAGTTCTAAATTGATCAATTAATTATTGGGACGATAAGTGAATAAGAAATTATTTCCTGGCAAATTACATACAAACGTCGAAGAAAATTACCATACTGCCATAGATGACAGTCAAATGTTAGAGTATCACTTTGTGTACTTTTATTTGTTTTTGTCCAACTGAATACAAAAGAATAAAGATCAAAGCATAAGTCCAAGTCATCACGTTAAGACACTGCTTTCTTATCGACCGGAGAAATTTGTAAACAGGACTATCAATCAGAAACATAATCAATTTTATTGAGTTAACCTCAGACCATTGGATTTCATCTTTAAGAACATCTCATAATATTTTATTTCTCCTTGACATTAGATTTAAATTATAGCATGACCCGGCGTTGCCCGTGCTTGATTCAAAAATCGTACGACTCATACAGCAATCGCTATCACTTGACTTAAAATATTTTTGCCCTTCCTTGCATTTAAAGGAGTGTCCTTTGCCGTGCTGATGTTGCTACATTCCATCTCACATTGCGAATTTTTTCTAAGCTCTATACTAAACATTAAATCTGTTACGAAAAAAGAACTAAACAAAATGAACACCAAGCGATCAGCTTTAAAACAGGACTCGTAACTGGAAAAACCGAATGAAAAAAGAATGTTAACAACAAATACTTTTTCACACCCAGCCCAGTTCTGCGGAATCAGAATCAACGTTGAGTTTAAGCAAGCGAATGAGCCAATTGGAGTGAAGTGCCATGCAGATTTAAATTTTTCCCACTTGCGACTAATGAAGCTATCGGGTTTTTTGGTTTTTTTTTTTGCATGCTAGTTAACATTTGTGTCTTACAGCTGTTGGCTCTCACGCTGGCCAATAGAATCTTCCTGCCTATTTGTGGCAGCCAGCTATTCGCTCTCACTCTGACCAGTAGAAAATGGCCGCAAACTACATGAAAACTGCCGTAGAAGCATGAAAAAATCGATTCTTTCCACTATCGATGGGAGTTGGGAAATGCAACGTCGGTCTTGGCCTTCCTACAAACTTGGGGCATGTGCATGTAAATTTTGGTGCAAATCCGTCGAAAATTGCATTCGTTACACAAACAGACACACACACACACCCTGCCTTTTATAGATAGAGATGAAGAATAGATTTTTAATTATTTGTCATAAACTATTTCAGTAACATAACCTGTTAAGTAGTATGATATAGCAGCAACTAATAGCTTTATTTGACTAATTCAGAGTTAATGCTGAAAACGTTTATTTTATTATAGTGGATGGTTACAAGACAGTTGAGATAGAATATATTTATTTTAATGCCACAATCTTACTTATTATAAAACGCAGAGTGTGTGTGTGTGTGTGTGTGTGTGTGTGTGTGTGTGTGTGTGTGTGTGTGTGTGTGTACGTTTATATATTGGATCGGATTTCCTAAATTTTTCAACCGATTTCAACAAAACTTCACAGGACTGTGTAAAATTACCTTGCGGTGGTTCTGAGAGCGCCAAAAATTGGAAAAACACAATTGTTTTTGCACGAAATCAATTTGAAAACACGATAAAACACGATTCTGTCGCCAGAATAAAAGGGGGACAACTCATATCGAGTTATACTTATTATAAAACCCAGGTTGTGTGTGTGTGTGTGTGTGTGTGTGTTCGTTTATATATGGGATCGGATTTCCTACATTTTTCAATAAAACTTCTTGCACACTTTTTTCTTTATTTTTACATTCAGAATGCTTTAAAAATTCCATTTACAAGACAGTTGTTTATAATAAAATTCTATTCAATCGATAGACTCATAACGATTGAAAACAATGTTTTTGTTTGAGTTTGGGTTTGACCAATTCGTAAAAAAACAAAAAAAAAAACTAATTAAGATATGCGTGCCCGTCAACCTTAGACAATAATCTTTGTCAATTTGATTTTTCAGTCTTTATGATGGTCGATACTTGATCTATCTCTTACTGTTACATCTCCGGGCAACGCCGGGCTCTACTGCTAGTTAGTATATAAAATGAAATTATGCATGTCTGTACGTGTTTGTGTGTGTGTATTTTTGCATGTGAATGTTCGTGCTTGTGTTTGTTATTACTTTAAATGTTATATTTAATGGACACACGTGTTTGTGTAGACCTCCCTTTTTTTTTAAAACAATGTAAATTTATTTCTACCTGCCTATACTTTCGAGAGGCTTCATAAAGAAAGTGTGTCTTCCATCAGGGTTCAAACCCGCGTCATCGTTTACAGGGGTTTGAAACATCCGTTCTGATCGACGTGCTTTAAATAAGTAAATCAACGGATAAAATGTAGCACCACATACTCTGTCTGAGATGGAAGCCTAAAACAAAGACTTCACCTGCGTCAATAGATCAATAAAATGTGAAACAAAGATATGAAAAATAACGGTCTACGAAGTCGTCGCGATACATACTTTACTCCATGATGCCAAAACATGAGTAATCTACCGGTGCCATCTGCGTCTTCTTCGGCGCTTTCATCAACAGTGCATCTGCACTACGAAAAATTGACATTGAAACGACTTCATCACAAATACCAAAGTGCTAGAGAAAGCCTGAACTTTCAGTCTTCAATAATATTAATATTAATAATAATAATTTTATAGCATTTTGTAGTACACACAGACAACAATCAAAGCTAATCGCTCAGACATCGTGAGCAAAGAAAACAAGAATAAACTTTACTTTCTTATTGAGATGGCAGTCCATGCAGATTATAATGTATTTTTAAAGATCTTCAAAAAATATTAAAATTCAAAGATATTCTAATGGAAACCTTAAAATGAGGACATCAATAATTCCAATTATAGTTGGAGCCCTCGGATTGACTGGAAAAGGATCCGATAGACTAACTGAAGGGATTCTTGATCTCATGCCTTCGATCCTTCTTAATTCAATCGAGAGGTGCTGTTTAAGAGACAATTTCCGTTTAGAAAATTTGAATTAGTTTTAGTGTGTTTCTGCAAAATTGTCGAATACTATTGAATTGGTTTATATGTTTATTCTTTCTGAGCAATGATAGATATAAAAAGCGGTTAATTGTCAAACTGATATATTTTTTGTTTCATGAGCGATTTAAGCTTAAAATTTAATTATTTTTTTAAATGTTGCAGTCTGTTTTTGAGATTACAAATATATTGTTTCGTGATTGGCACATAAAACATTTACAGAACAAAAAACGAGAAATCAATTTGTCTGCTAGAAAAAGATTACAAGACAGAATATTGAAAATGGATTACTTTTTATGAAATACATAAAAGACAGAAAGAAATAGACAGCGTGAACATGTCTATGGGAGGGAAAGAAAAGATTAAGAAAAAGTTTAACACATATAATTACAGTTAAGTTGTTCTGTGTTGCGCTTAGCCTATATTTTAAATGTGGTGGGTCCGTTTTGAAAATTAGTATTCGACATGTGCATTTTTTTTACCAAGGCTAAAAAATGCTAGGTCTGTTAAGAAGATATTTTAAATATTTCTGGAACCAGTCGCGTGGCTTTACTACGCATGCGTGAACAGCCATTCCCCAGTGGAGTTATTCAGCTGGCAAAGAGTCGTCATTTATTGGCCTTGTACAATTGTGTGATAGCCACATTCACAATGGCTGAGTGAGTAGATTCGGCCTATCTCGTAGAGGGTGTGTTTTCGTAAACCCTTTCATCTCGCTGGTCTTTCAGTACCCACATCATAATTCAGATTTGGTTCGTTACAACTTCTGCTTTATTTTTCCTAAAGCTGAAATCTTCGAAATGCCAATTAAGAAACCTAATGGCCGTCCCGTAAGCAAACATTGTAGACTGTTTTGAAAAATGAAAGGGGATAAGATTGTAAGTTCCCAAGCGAAGTAAATTTTAGCGGAAAAGATGCTATTGGTTGAGTATTTTGCGTCGATATGAAATGGCTGTATATTTTTTGGATAGACTTCTTACATAACGATCGCAGTGAATAAGCGGCCTCTGAGAAGGTTGCTACACAAAATCCAAGAAGTCTATCCAAAAAATATACAGCCATTTATTCGATCTGGTGTTCTCATCTTAATTGATACATGACCTTATCAATTAAGATGAGAACATCAGATCGAATAAATAATGACTGATATATATCGAATAAACTGATAGATAGATTCAAGAAAGAAAGAAAGAAAGAAAGAAAGAAAGAAAGAAATAGATCTATGTCCACTTTTTTTTTTACTTTTTATGAACTGGAACTATATATACCATTTTGATTCTCATGTAAGCCGAAACAATGTCTACCTATTTATTGATCCATTGTGGTTTATATCTTATATGATTTATATTCGACATTGAGTAAGTCAAAAGGGTTTGGTATGCCGTTAAATTAACCAAACTAAACCTAAGTCTGTGAGAAGACTATTAGATCAATGATATAAGCAGATTGAGATATATTAATATATAAAAGGTAAGAGAATGAAAGTGAGAAATTTTAACTTATTTCTTAGATAGATAGATAGATAGATAGATAGATAGATAGATAGATAGATAAAGAAGTGACCGAGATAGATAGATAGATAGATAGATAGATAGATAGATAGATAGATAGATAAAGATAGATAAAGAAGATAGATAGATAGATAGATAGATAGATAGATAGATAGATAGATGTGTTTTATATCATCTAATAAAATTTTCTAATATTTTATTGACACCTATTACACCTACAGTGGTGAACTTTCATATTTTCCCAAAACCCCAAAAAGACTTCGAGAGAAAGGTTCTTTTCATAACAGGCTTTGTAGATTTATGACTTAAGTAAAGTTGTCAAAGATTCAACATTAAACGTGCTTTCTCGTTAAGCTGTCAGCTCTGTCTGGACTCGAGACTCAGTTACTGTTTTTTAATCTGAGGGTAAAGTTATCATTCAAAGAGAATAGATATTTGTTATTGGAAAAGATAATATATTGCAAAAGGCACTATTTACTCCAAAATATAACACACACACAAATATATATATAAAAAAAATTTGTAACATAAATATGTTATAAAATCACTACAAAAATAGCCATATTAGGATGTGTCAAGAGTAACTGTCGCTTTTTGGAACCAGTTGTAAGGTTCTTTTCATAACAGGCTTAATATGTGTCCTCTTACCTACCTGATAATCATGTGTACCAGTTAAGAAAAAATTGCAATGTATGAGCAGAACTTTTTTAAACATTTCACCCCAAGCAAGGCAAGAGTATCACAAGCACTCAAGGGATTACAGATAGTGGGAGCAAGTTTAAAGAAGGACGAATAAATAGATCACTACATCAGAAAACGATTGACATTACATTTGAATATTTGAAGGCTATACCTATCAGGGAAGAAGCAAGTAAGAGGAAGGGAGTTCAACGCACGGCAAGTGCGAGACATGAAGCTATTCGAGTAAAAAAGAGAGCTACATTTAACAGTTTCAACAGTGAAAGGGTTCGACTGAGATGCCAACCTAGTAACACGCTTAAATTCACCTTAGTTTATACACAGCAATGGCAGCATACACAGTGGATTAAAGGAAAAATGTTTTCCTTGTAATGAGTTGGTCGGTCAACTAGACACCCCCAAAGTGAGTGGAGGTGGGCAGGCGCGGGAACTGTGATTGGTAGCTGGCTTGTTGGTGTTTTGTATAGGTGAGTTACCAAGCTCTATGTGAAAGGCTGGAATGTGAAGGAGGGTAGTTTTCAGTCTCAGAAGTGGAGACTGCGTCCGTCGCTACGACAGCAGGAGAGAAAGAGACGAAATCATTTTTTTTCGTGACATATTCCAACACAGTCCTCTTTCATGACAACGCAAGGCCGCATGCAATAAGAATAACTTAGAGGAGACATCTAGAACTCAGTTGTTGTTTTTTTTTTTTACCCATTCCGCCATATTCGCCTGATCTTGCACCAACTGATTATTACCTTCTTCGATCGCTGCAAAAGGCTTTGAGGAGGGAAATCTTTTACTAAAGAAAACCAGATTCAAGATTCGTCGTAAACGTTTTTACGTCAAAACCTGCGGAATTTGACTCTGAAGGTATCAAACGGTTTTGAGGTCACGTCATAAATGGCAAGAAGTCACTGCAAATAACGGTGACTATAGAATTGAATGAAATCTAGTTTTACTTTCATTTTTTAAAGAACAAAGTTGAGAAACAAAAACGGAAATTATTTATAACTCAACCTAATAGTTCAATGAGGAAAAGGCCTGTTTAGGAAACATGATATTAACTCAATTGAGCTTAACGTGATATAAAACAATAATGAATAAAATATCGAGAGAATGAATATGTTATGTTGAATTTACAAGTGAGAATCACCTGTCGGTCTGGAAAAATGTTTACCACGTTACGAACAGCGAAAACTAGAAGACAGAAAAATATAATTGTATCAGCCATAAAATAAGCCCTGGCATGGAGGTGATTCTATTGGAGCATTGGTCATTTAGATTTAAAAATATCCTCCTGACGTCAGCTTAAAATCATACTTTTTTTTTTATATGTTTGAATCATTTTGCTTGTATTTCTCATTTTTGTTGATTTTAATTGAAAACTCAGAAATATTCCAACATATTTCGGTTACGTTTTACTTTCCAAAATTATAGATTTAATAATTATTGTTTAGATATATAGAAAGAATAGTGATTTCCTTTGTTCTAATCCATAATCATCCCGTCCTCAAATTTATAGAAAGAATAGTGATTTCCTTTGTTCTAATCCATAATCATCCCGTCCTCAAATTTATAGAAAGAATAGTGATTTCCTTTGTTCTAATCCATAATCATCCCGTCCTCAAATTTATAGAAAGAATAGTGATTTCCTTTGTTCTAATCCATAATCATCCCGTCCTCAAATTTATAGAAAGAATAGTGATTTCCTTTGTTCTAATCCATAATCATCCTGTCCTCAAATTTATAGAAAGAATAGTGATTTCCTTTGTTCTAATCCATAATCATCCCGTCCTCAAATTTATAGAAAGAATAGTGATTTCCTTTGTTCTAATCCATAATCATCCCGTCCTCAAATTTATGGACAAATCCTACAGGTTGGGATTTCCACCAAACCAATAAAAATGGACAACTACTCTGTCTCATCCGTCGTATTTTTGTTTTTGTTTTTTCTTGTCTTGAAGTCAGAACGCGCCAATCACTTGACTGTGTCCTTTTTTGCGTGTGAACAAAATTCTTACATTTTTAATTTTTTACCTTATTACTGTTACTTCGCCTAGTTTTGACGTGCATATATAGTGTTTGCTTTGTATTATTTTCCCTGTCTTTTTTCTTACTTTTTTTTATTGTTTAATGAGAACTTTGTCAATTCGCTGACTGGCGTTTGCACCACATTGTTTAAACTGACGCTAACAGAATATGCGTTTTACTAATTAGAAATAACGACAATGATTGTCGTCCTAGAAAGTGGAGTTTAAACTCGACTACAACGACCTGAACTGGCATTTTTAAACAGCTGTTTCAACTTGGAGTGGATTTATGAACAATATTTTCTTTCTATGTGTGTGTGTGTGTGTGTGTGATTGTTTGTGTGTGATTGTCTGCATATATATGCGTATGTGAGAGAGAGAGAGAGTTTCGTATCATGAATTTATCCGTGTGATTGTTCGGAATATATTGACGCATTTATTGAGGAATAAAAAGATACAAATGCAATTAAATGAAACGTTATGAACGAATGCCATACTTACCGTCATTATCAATTACCGTCGTCCATCGTAAATCAAATTGTCCGTTCTCTGATGAATAAATACTTATATTTATCGATCTGAAAGTAAATCTTCCCTACTTCTGACACTAAAATAATGTTCTCACGATACAAATGTCGCTGAAAAGGTTCGGCCAGTTGAATATAGATTATGAGGTAAAACTTTTTAACATAATACCATCACGGTATCAGTCTCTTTCCGACTGTCGTAACGTAGCACCCCTCTGCCTTTTCTATAAATACTTTCATGATAATTGTTTCGATGAACTTTCCTCTATGGTACCTAGACTTTATTAATTTAAGCGAAGTACTAGATTGACGGCAAGGTCTCATCAATTTTGTTGTAACCTAGAAAAGGTTACTGAATGAGGAATAACCAATACGGAGGTTGGAAATGAAATGGTAATCTTTATAACATCAACAAAATACAATACTCGCCAGCGGCGTGAAGTAGGTAAACCACTGCTAGTGGAAGACTACTTAAACAGCATATTACCCCACTTACATTAGTGTCCAACGTATTTATGAGGATTGGGACATACTCATTAGTGTTCATAGGTACGGTATATAACAAATTTGCAGTTGAAATGACCAAAAGTAACCGTGAGTTCTATGCAAATAGTTTCTTCTATCGTACTTCTCGCTTGTGGAACTCTTTTCCGGCTTCTTGCTTCCCAGTCAGCTTTGATCTTCAAAAATTTAAATGTAATATCAATCGTTATCGCCTTCTTAATTTCTTGTTCTTTTATTGTCCTCTCTCCTTAATAGTAGTTTTTTTTTCATATTCTCTAACATTCAGTAACCCCTTGCATCCTATTAGCTTTATTGCTTTGCTTGGGGTGAAATGATTAATAATAATAATAATAATAATAATAATAATAATAATAATAATAGCTTTATTTTTTCTTGGATCCAATTTTCTGAAGGATGACATGCTTTCAGTTCATCAAGTAAATATCTAATATTCGATAGTGTCCTCTGCGGAGAATTGAACCTGACTCTCCGACATGGCAGGCAAAGGAATACTACTTATATTATTATTTAAAACAATCCTACTTTAGAAATGCAATTCTCTAGAATAAAGTAAACAAAAAAAATATTTGTAACAGAGCTCCATCCTTGGTCGTACCCTGTTTTTAATTTTCATTAATGACCTTCCCAATGACATCTGCTCCCAACTTGGCATCTACACTGACGACATAACCATTTACTCCTGCCTCAATCGTAAGGCTGATTCAGTCCGACAAGGTCAAAATGGCAGCCAATGTCCAAAACGACCACAAGTCCTTCATTAACTGGGGCAAAAAAAAAATAAACTTCTCTCCATTAATCATCTGCGTGACCCCTCTCCGCCTTACTTCAGCATGGCTGATGCTAACCTCCAGGAAAGTGACTCATTGTGCCTTCTGGGGTTAACGTTCTCAGCTGACATAAAGTGGAAAGATTATATTGAATCCATTGCTAGGTCAGCTGCTAAGAAGGTTGAGCGAGAGAATTTTTTCTCCGAAATCTATTCTATATATCTATATCTATCATTCTTCTATGGTTTGAATATTGCTGCCACATATGGTCCGATGCCTCTGCTGTTTACCTTAAGCTCCTTGATAAGATCCAAATAATCAGCAATATTATTGCTCCTGATCTGGCGATTCAACTTCAGTGACTTGCTCACCGCTGTAAGGTTGCCTCTTTGTGTCTTTTTTTTATAAATACTTTCATAATGATTGTTCGGATGAGCTCTAGACTTTATGAATTTGGCATCGAGATCTTATCAATTTACAGCTGTGCTAGCTAGATGTAGCCGTAAATTCTATGCTAAAGGTTTCTTTTCTCGCTTGTGGAATTACCTTCCTGAACTATGCCTTCCAGACAACTTTAATCAGCAAAAATGTAAATGTAATGTCCTCCTGATTACCATTTTCCCTTCCTGCTCATTAATCCTT